TAGTACGTCATATGTTTCGTTGATCTGATTGGTTTATTTGGCCCGTTTATCACCAACCTAGGCCAGTCAGCTAACCAGTATTTTCGCCCCTTCCCAAAATTACTTCAACGGAAGGTTTCCAGATGGATATGCGGAGCAAATCCATCTGGCGGAGTCAGGTTAGTAAGGGGTATGCAAGTGATCAAAAACGGTAACTTGCCCTGTAAAGCGTTAATCTCGTATAGGAAATTAGTGTCCATCTTAAACAAACAACAATATATTTATTTTTTGCTTTTAAAATGTCATTAAAACATATAATTTCCAACCTAATTAAAAGAACAATGGCTCTTAAAAATATTTCGGTTCTTTTAATCTAATTTTTTTTTCTATCTTATAAAAAAACACTAAAGCTTTCGATAAGGGTATTTAGTAAAATACATTATTTAGCTCTTTACATTTTAGCCGCTATCAAGAGCTGCTGGAGAGGGTCTAAAAGAGCCGCAGGTTGCAGAACGCTGCACTAGAACATTCGAAGCTCATGATGCGCCTTCATCTAAACCGGGGAGGTGACCCTCTGTCAACGGCAGTAAAATAACTTTCTTTGGTCATACGGTTAAAGAATGAATCTATTTGTCGGATGATGTTTGATATACTCATGTGAAGATAGAAAAAAAGGGAGAAAAACAACGATCTGAGCTGCTTTGCTGAGCGAGCAGCTGAAATGACAGGATATCAGGTCTCCACAATAAAAGCTGCTGTGAAATCTCTTCAGTCTGCAGCAGTCAGGAGCCATCAAAGGAGTTTAGTGAAGGAAAACCTGGGAAGGTTCACTGAAGGTTCACTGCTGATCCCAGGCGTGGAAGATAGAGGAGGAGCTTCTGCTTCTCCAACCAGCTGGATTCATATGGAAGAAAAACTGATTCACTGGAATCTACCTTTTTTTGTTCTGGTAAAAATTTGCATGCAAAATATTTGACTAAAAATGTGTTTACCTTTCTGTGAACTCAAGCCAACACACTTACCAATGAAATTAGCTAAAAAAATACCCCAAAAATACCTGTTTTTTGAAATAAATATCATAAAATGTTCAACTTTGTGTGTTGTTTGGGAGGACATGAAGAAGATGGATCTTTCCTGTTACACTGCAAAAAACATCTAAAAATGAGAAAAATGTCTTAAATTAAGTGTATTTACCATTAATTTGAGGAGGTAAATAAGATAATTGGCCAATGGAATGAGTATTTTTAGTCTTAAAATAAGCTAATTAGATAATATTCACTTGAAATAAGACAATGTAATTGTGTTTTCTTATTTTAAATGTAAATTGTCTTGTTTCATTGGAAAAGTGCCTCAATTACCTCCTTATTGCAAGAAAAAATTATTTAGATTTGAATTTTTTGCAGTGTATGATCAGGCCACCAGTAGACGGGTTGTAACAGGAGGTTTTAACCAGATGTGTTTTATATGTTCTGCAGAATAAATGCAATTTGAAAATATTTTTCACACTTAAAAGTTGACTTTTATAGCTTTCGGTGGGAGGGATCTGCGATTTTAAATCTAGCAATAAAAGTGAAAAATTTAACCACAGAAATTTATCTGCTTTCATAGAAAAAAATAATTTTCTTTTATCATTTAGGTTTAGATTTAATAAAAAGCACAGAAGCAGGCTTGTCCTGGTGAAGATTCTCAGTCATCCAGGTCAGAGTCATTCCAAAAAAGTTAAAAACAATCCTCTGGAGTTTGTTTCCAAGTTTGAGGACGTTTCTATGGTGGCCCTGAAGTGCAAATTGCAAATACAAATCTAAAAGCGCAACTACATTAACCTACCGGAAAAGGTACACTGGAAAAACGATCTAGAAATAAGTAAAACTGTCTCAAATTAAGTGTATTTACCCTTAATTTTAGTAGGTAAATGAGATAGTTTGCCAATGGAATGAGTATTTTTACTCATAAAATAAGATTATTAGATAAAATGCACTTGAAATAATAAAAATGTAATTGTGTTTCCTTATTCAAATGTAAATTGTCTTGTTCCATTGGCAAGATGTCTGTTATACCTTCTCAATTTGAGAACAAATGCACTTAATTGAAGAAAAAAATGACTTACCTAGATTTGGATTTTTTCCAGTGTAGGCACCAGTGGGAAACATGAGACATCGCTGATTGGACGACGGCGCCGTTTGACCCTTGAAC